TAGCCACCGTTGTGATTTCCATAGAACCAGTTTATTGTTTTCAGTAGAGGTTATGAAACAATATATTGGAAACGAACCGTTACTGTCTCCAGTTGGCAAGACATTCAGAGTGTTCCAAAAAGTGTGTGACAACGCCCATAAGACGGGTAAGGAGTACGTCTAGACGGAGATCTCGTTCACTACAAAACCCCCAACAGCGCCCCGTTGTGCCTGAAAGTTGAGGGCGAGGTTTCTAAAAAGTACCCCAACTACTAGACCTCTGACCGATTCCGGTGATTCCTGGGAACTTTACCGAGAATCCGCTTCGGTGAGGAAGCAACCCGGGCCCGCTCCACAACCCTATAACAGTACTGACTTTCTGGCGTCGGTGCAAAGTAGAAGTTACGGAACGCTAGCTTCACAACAGTGAGGTTTTGAGTGCTATGTACCGGGGAAGAAGAAAGGAAGTGCCTATCAGCAGACCGGGAAACGTCTTTTGTCGGGGTTTTGTACTACAAGATTGGGGGTACAAGTCGTCATCCATCCACAAGAAACTACGTTGAGTCGTAGAAAGGGGGGTTTGTGCAGATCAGCAAAAATGGTTTTTCAAGATTAAACCAAAGTAGACTGGTATACTGAAGAGGGGTTGGGAGAAAGACCTGTAGATACGGAGATCGTTGAAGTCGCCCGGACCTGTACCTATGACCGATTCGTCCCCCTGTGCAGACCCGTGACGGTCCTAACTCAGGGACCGTCCGCATCACACAATACTACCGTCGGAACATGAACCAGGTCGAGAGACGTCCAGTTAACTGATCCAGGGCACACCATAAAGTCTTTAAAAATCAGACTTGTGATTTTCTTTTTTCTCATTTTGTCTCTCATAGTTGAGGTATACCTGGGATGAAAATTACAGGCCTCTCTCATCTTTTTAAGTGGGAGAACTTGCACAATTGGTGGCTGACTAAATACTTTTTTGCCTCACTGTATGTACACCATAACGGTGCACAGCTTATGGAAAGGGACACCTGGTGGTTAAAGCACGTTATTGAAATGTATTATTATCTTTATTATTAGATATTAATAGGAGACACAGACAGACAAACTAATAAGGCTTTATTTAAACATTAAAGAATACTTTAGGTTAAGGTCTTATTTTGAATAAGAAAAAAGCTTTCGGGGTATTCATATTAAGCCTGACAAAGTACTAATACATGTGCATACCTCCAGCAATGTTAACTATGTTGAAGCACTTATTTTAACTGATATTATACATATGTATTATACTCTTATAAGATGTATGTAGATAGAATAAGAAATGTGCAGAATATAACAGTTTAATGGTGGAGGTATAGATACATATTGATAGATGTCTTGTAATGCACGGTTGAGGAACCTGCGACCCAGGTTTTTCATCTCCGACCTTGTCAGGTATTGAACAATCAATAAATAAAGAACACAGAATATTAAATTAACCGTCAGCTTTGTGTGATTATACTAAATGATTTACAAATAAACACCACTGCATATTTACAACTGCTACACATGCTGATGTAATGCAAATGTTTCCAACTTAGGATCAATAAAGTATATCTTATCTCTTTCGACTCCACTTCGAGCGATAGAATTACTAACAAAGCACTTAATAAAGGACTGGCTTATCTAAAGCCAGTTGAGTAGCACTTGAAATGTTTTAGCTCTATGAAACCTGATGTACTTATATGATTCTGTTTTCTTCAAGTTTGTATCTTGTTGGTCAAACGCAATTATTGTAACTCGCTTTGGATAAAAGCGTCAGCTAAATGCAATGTAATGTAAGATGATCGATGGCTATGCCATATTTGTCTCTGAACCTTGACAAGTGCATGTTTCAGGCTTATCAATTAACAACAGGAGGAGTCACAGACATAAGACCAGCTGTTAAATAAAGCTATTCTGACCTTAGCTGTCATGTGGGTATATATTAATTGCTGGGCACAAGCAATTTTCACCCATTTATTAATTATATCTTTTAAGTTTGAGTGTTTCCTATGCAAGTCAATGGGACGCTCTTCCCGTTGAAAACTGACTTTCAAGGGGTACCCTGTCCGTAATAGAGTGACGGGGAGGGGCCCTGACCGTCCGTCAATATGTGACGGGTTGGGAGTGAGAACGTGTTGCACCATGATATCTGTGACGTTTAAATTTACTACAAGGATTTTCCAACTACTTATAAACAGTCTCAATGTAATACTGATGCACCTTTTCGACCTACTGAAGAAAAAGGGACCCTCAAAGATACTTGATAACTTGGGCAAAATACTTTATACCGTATGATATGAATTTTTTATGTTTTGCAATACCGTTGAAAATGTGTTGAAGGGCGCTCGAACGGTGCACACCGCGGAAATGCATGCTGTGAAGTAAGGATGTGATTTTTTTACATTTTCAAACAGTTATGTTGTTGTTATGTTGTTATGTGGTGCACAAAGTTTGCACAATAATATGGTTCACTTTTTGCAGTTGTGTCATGCATTCTGATTCCTTCACCACATAAGACTCATGAGGGCCCCCACTGATCAGGTGTTTTTTTTGTGGGGCAAAAATATATAAATGTAAATACATTTCTAATCATTGAAAAATAAATAAACACTGTGATACCGTTATAATTTGGAAAAATACCGTGATAGGAGTTTTTTGTCATACCGCCCAGCCCTAGTTTGAATAAAACCCTCAGAATAATATCGGGAATAATATAGATACCTTTCACAGGGGGCCAATTCCAAGATTAGAAAGGATTCTTAAATATCCTGTGTGAACTTATTTCTGTATGTTTTTCACCTACCCGGGAATTTTTTCGATGAGCCTCTGCACAGGGATGGTGAGCTGACCGAGGAAGCGTTTGATGATCGGTCGACTTTTTGAAAACTTATCCTTCACCTCGATGTACAGGATGTCAGTCATTAGTGCGACAAACGTGTACTTCTGCAGAGGCACACACATACAGTCTGTCATGAGGGTTCCACACATTTTTACCAATGGATTTTTTAAACTTAATAAAGTCCCTAATATCCCACTACATTTTCATCACTTGATGTCAGTACTTAAAAATAAGTAAGCATAAATAGCAATCAAAAGGAGAAATAATGAGGCTCCCATCCTAGTTTGCTATGCACTGAGACAGGTATCATATGAAAAAATGTAGCATGGAATAACACATACACCAACAGTGGACACAAATTCACAAATGTCAAAGAATGCACATGCATAGTGGAATTTGCAGAGCTTGCTAGGATACGAAAGGTCATTGTTATTACCGTGAGCAGTGTTGGGGCTACAAAGAAACGTGTTACAGATAACAGATTAAATTTGTCTGTAATGCGTTACTATTGATCCAGCAGTAATTACATTACAGTTACTAAACGCACAATTATTTCGTTACTTGCGTTAATTTAAGGTCTTCAAATATCTGCATAACGGGAGAACAGAATAATAAATCAAATGTCCCTTTTTGCTTGCGCTACACTCAGAGTTCATGGATGAGGAGACGGAGCAGGAATGTCTCATAGCAGAGAAACAGGCCTGTAGCAGCTACAGTGGAGGAAATGTTGACCACGGTGGAATCGGCATCTTTCAGAAACATTGAGCAATATATAATAATGGGGGGACGGCCGTCATCAGAGAGGAAAACTTTTGCAAGCTACCTGGACCAGTTATATGATGGAAACTGAGCTAAAGGAAACATGATGTTCAAACACAGAGCAGAAACAGAGGTCTGTGTTCAGGACTGTCCTTATCAGATAAGGATTGGTGCTGATCTGGGATCAATTAGGTTTAATTTTATATTGTTATCAATCTTTTGATTTATGGTGCATCTGAAGTGATGTTACAGAGTAATTCAAAACTAATGTAACTGGTAGTGTAACTAGTTACTTTCAGCAGGGAGTACCTAAGTAAAGTAAAAAAAAGTAACGCATTACACATTGCAATTTACTTTCAAAAAAAGTAATGCATTACTTTTTTTAAGTAACTACCCAACACTGACCATGAGTGACGACTTTGCATAGCTCATTTTCTGTAAATCAGGAAATATGCTAGCTAGCCAACAACAGGGGAATGATGAAATGTTGTGCAGTGTAACAACGTCACCTCTCCGTGCCAGGTGGGGTTGGTGGTGTTAGCGATGATGGCTGATCGTCGCTCCTGTCCGTGGTGGCTGAAGATAGGGAAGACGCTCCTCTTCCCTGGGTGGATGGACATCTTCAGGTAAGGGTCCGGATTGAAAAACATTCCTTTCTTCAGGCCATTGGCACGAAGATCTAAAACAAAGCATTAGTGACAGAAGGGTTCAAAACTATCAAATCTGATAGTTATAATGTTTGTGGCATATTTTTCATGTTGTATTACATTAACATTACAATTCATTTAACTGCCAATCTCTGATGCTTTTATCCAACAACGATTAACCTTCTGAGCCACAAACCCCCTGATGCAGTCCCCCATCCCTCAGTCTCTTGTCTGAGAACATAAACACCATAAACACAGAGTTGATTCTCTGTCTTTCTCTCTTCTTGGAAAGCCCCTCTTTAAATTCCCAGACCCCTGTTTCCTGAACACAGCTTTTAAAGTTAACTTTAGCTTTCCCTGAAAGGACAATAAGACACACATGAGGAGGAGATGACATGGCTCAGCTGAAACCAAAAGTCTTCCTGTTGTTTCTGAGGGTTCCTTTTTATCTGTTATTGAGAATGATTACATAACAAACCGTAACTCTGCATGTTATAAAATCAGTACAAATGGCTTCCAACATGTGAACCTTTCAACTCACCTGTCAAAGTAAAGCTAATCAGTTTCCGTGGATGTTCGATGCCCACCTGCTCCGCCTGAGAGAGAACAAACAGCGTCACACTCTATACACCAGGAAAATAAACACACAGAGACAATCCACATTTGTTTTCTTCTACATGCAAATGACTCTAAACCCTACTACAGGACAAAGCTTGCCGGAGAGAATTAAATACAGAAGTGCTCATTGAAACACATATGGTTATACAAAGTATGAAAACAATGAATTGCATGTCTTCCTGTCTTCCATTATCTACAGATTAGGATTACTTGACAAAACAGCTGACCATTTATAACAATAATACTATAGAATACTTTACAGATCTTAAAATAATCCTAATTTAGTTCAGTTAAGGGATTTAATAGTCCACTAGCGTAATTTAACCTTGATAGAGCAAAGACATACACATACACACACACACACACACACACACACACACACACACACACACACACACCACACACTAAAAACACACACACACAACACACAAAACACACACACAACATACACACACACACACACACATACACACACCAGGACTGCAGGGTTCTTCACAGTTATGCAGGGGGTGGTGGCTCTCAGGGCTCCGCTCACACCGTGGTAGTATTTGAAACAGATCTTAGTCTCAGCTGCAGAGGAAGCAGCAAAGTGTTATAGGGAGATGTGGAATTTGAACTATGTTTATTAAGTAAGATAATGCAACTTGACAATAAGTGATTATAAAATGCTATATACAAAAAAATATATAAAATACTATAAAAGCAGATTGTAACGCATTATGAGTATCTTTATAATGCATTATAGACATAGGTGATATAGAAGTGATACTATTTACCTTTTTTCAGAAAAACATTAACATTATGATTATTAAATATCTTAAGAGTAAAGAAAAATATATTCACAAGGAATAGAATGAAACTGTTCTCCAGTATGAGAGCCTACTGTAACTTACGCTCCATAAAGTAAAGCCCGGGCTCCAGCCTCCAGACGATCTGGCCCTTCTGGGTGCCGTTGACCCCTCGGTTCTTACAGTCCCACACGTTGGATGGACTGGTTTCATCTGGAGAGCAGGAGAGTTGTTAGTCATACGTCTTAATGCTGGGGTTAGTCTAATCATGCTGTGTTGACATCCCTCTGATTCCAATCCCAAACCATGTTAATCACAACAAACAACAGATAATTTGGACCCTACTCTTGTGAAGAAAAACTGCAGCAAAGTATGTTAGTCTGCAGACTCTGTCTTCCAAAACACACATTTGCCTTTAATCAGTGAAATCCATTCCAAATATAGCCTCCCTACAACCTCTACGCAGAAGGACAAACACAAACTTCCTCTGACTTAAAAACAAGGAGGGGGAATTCCGCTGTATGTAGCACTTTCACAACTCAGCTGACTGCTGGAGAGGAGTGTGTGCATGAGCGAAGTGGAGTGGAGGAAGGGAGGGCAAGTTGCTTATCATTGAATGTCTGCTTAGTAAAGGAAAGTGGTAGCCCCTCTGGGTATAAGACTCTGGAGCAGGTAATGAAGTCCTGGCGGCCCTCTGATCGATGCAGGTGACCTGACTCCCTGCCAGGCATCTTCTCTACACTTTCTCCCATACTGCATTCTTACCTAAAGGGAAGCTTGTAGACAATATTATTAACGTGCGACATGTAAATCGTCAAAAATTTTGTATTCGCTGTTAGCTTACGACCTCCACGAGTGAGTTATCAAAAATGTTCTTCTCAATTTAGCATCATATTGGATAGGGGCTGAACGTGTCCTGGATTGGAATTTTTCCAATCATTCCCCTAGGAGGAGTTCGCAAAAATGTGCTTAAAATGCATGAAAAAAGCAGATTCTTCAAAATGGCCAACTTCCTGGGGGGCGGGGCTAATGGAATCTATTTACAAATATGTCCGCAATTCCATGAGGAATGTCTGTGCCAAAATTCGTGAAGTTCAAAGAATTTATATGTGACTACCACACGTTAGGGTGCGCTAGTGAGCAGTTTTTTTGAAAAATTATGTTTTTTTTTACATTCTCGAAAAGGGCGTGGGCTCTGACGTGTGTCCCAAGTTTTGCGTCCGAAGCTCATTTTATGCTATCGCAATTTAAAAAAAATGTATAGGCCACGCCCACATTCTGAATTTATTGCGACACTTTAAATCTGAGTTTATAGTCACCCCGAGAGTATGTGTAAAAAAAAAAAAAAAAGATTAGTCCATCCGCTCTTGAGTTATAAATTGGTGTTGTTTTTGTGGCCCCCTATAGTCCAAAATGAAAATGCTTTTGTGTGCCTATTCCCCAAGACAGTCTAAACCTATCTACCAAAATCTGTGATGTTTGGATACATTGTTGATGAGTTATGAGCATTTATTTCTAAGCCCCGCCTTTTTGCGAGAACGTTTTGATTGACGGCGGCAATATTTATCGTCCTAACATGCTCATTTTCTTTCGGAATGTGTCTGACCCTCCACCGATGCTGTATACGAAGTTTGGTGTTGAAAAACTGAAAATTGAAATTTAAGTGAATATTTAACTGTTTATGTAAATTATGCCAATTAAACAAAATAAAAATGTAGGCGGAGCTTAGGGTTCCAAGAGGATTATTTGTAAAGCAGGTCCACCCCAAGCGGCAAACTCTGTGGAAGAGCCGGGGCACCAATACGGAAGTGGCACACACTGCAGTTCATATATTGG